TATCACATTTAAATAACAGTAAACCAAGAACGAACATAATAAATACCAATTAATCAAACATAATAAAATACATACCACAGTATTTTCGCATAATGTAAACCTAAATCTGGGCACCAGTTTAGCCAAACACAGTCTGATCTCTATTAAGGCAAACCTCATGCCGAGACACACTCGGGGTCCGGCGCCAAACGGCATGAGTGCGTACGGATGGGCCGGCTTTGAACCAACAAACCTTTCGGGCCTAAACGTGCGCGCGTCCGACCAATACCTGCTATCCCTGTGCAGCGCATACGTGGCTACCGTACATATAGTGCCCTCAGGTATATGTATGTTATGTAGGGTTATGTCCTCATTGCACACCCGCTCTACCCGTAGTATCGGTGGCCGGAGTCGTACGGACTCCTGTATGACAGCGTTCAAGTAGGGCAGAGCCGCCAGTGTGTCGGCACTGAAATCGGTCACATCCCGGAGCTCTTCGTATAGTTTTTGCTGTATTTCTGGATACTTTGAGAGGTAGTATAGCGTGTGACTGATGGCTGAGCCCGTGGTGTCGAAGCCGGCGATGAAAAACAGCATACATTGTGCGGTCATCTCAACGGTGGACAGGGTTTGGCGTCCGGCCGTAGGGTTTGAAGCGTTTTGCCGGTCATCCGCTCTTTCAAACACACCATCGCTGGTGTTGTGATCAGTGATGAGCTCTTCCTCTTCAGCCGTGTCTTTGTTCGCGTCAATCATTATCTGCAGAAAGTCTTTGCGTTTGGTTTCTATCGGTTTAGTATGCGATAGAAATTGTGACAAACTTTGCTTTGAATTCTCTTCCCTTCGCTCAGCGACTAGTTTTTCGGTCAATTGCTTGAAGTATTGAATGGCATCGGCGGGGAAAGGGGTGACCCGTAATAGTTTGGCCACTTTTGGCAAAAATATGGACAACACTAGCGCTGTGTTGAACTCCACGGCCAACACTTTGCGGCCAAACTCGACCAGCGGTTGATTTGGGTCTTTCAGAGCATTGGTTTTGATACTGAATGCAAAACTATTGATGGCATCGCATAGAAAGGCTGACAACAACTTCTTGACATCCATTTCAATGATCTCTAAAATTAGTTTTTTTTAAAATAAAAAGTTTAAAATTAATTATAAAAATGTGCTAAAATGTATTTTAAACACTATTACATAAATATTAATGCAGTTTAATAAATAATTACTATAACAATAATCATTGCACCTGTATTTGCGATAGTGTTTACCATAAGGTAGTTTATAATAATTAGTTATTACACTAAATAATTAAATAAAACTAGTTTTTAAAATGTATCTAAACACAAAACATTAAACTATATTTACCATCGGGTTTAGCCGTATCAAACATTTGGGACACACTGTCTACAAACTCATCAGCAATCACTTCCAGTGACGGCATAATAGCCTT